GCATCACAGCTCACAGCAACCTCCAACTCCTGGGCTCAAGCGAGTCTCCTGCCTCCACCTCCCAAGTAGCTGGGACCACAAGCGCCCACCACAACACCTGGCTATATTTTTTGGTTGCAGCCATCATTGTTGTTTGGCAGGCCCAGGCTGGACTCAAACCTGCCACCTTAGGTGTATGTGGCTAGCGCCTTAGCCACTTGAGCCACAGGCACCGAGCCTGAAACTTTAAAATACACCGTCACTTCTAGGCCCTTCACAAATAATCAACATTTTACCTGTAGTAACATTTTCCAATCTGTACTTTCCACCACCAGTCCTTGTACTGAGAATGCTCTGTGGAAAGGGCAGCAAGATCCAAAGCCTTTGAAAACAATTCATTTTAGATTAGTATTTTCTTTCCTAACAGTAAATAGTAAGAAAAAAAATGAAATAAACCATATAATTAGCATCAATTAAAATGTATTCGAAATCAGACTGAAACTCAAGTTGCTCATGTTTCCAGATGGCCCCACTCATTTTCCCTAATCAGGTCTAGACCAGAGGGCTAACAGCAGATAAGATAGAAACGCAGATCAAAGAGAAGCAGATGTACAATATATCTGAATATAATTTTAATATACTAGATATAAAGTTGATATTAAAAATGAATAAATTTTAACCACACCACCACTTATCTACTGTCTGAGGATTCAAAATGCCTCCAAACTCAGTGGTAGTTAAGCCTTTTGGTATGCAAGCCAGGTCCCATTGCAGCCCTCACTTTAAAGACAGATACAGAGACACAGAGAAAGATCAAACAAGCAGATAGAGAAAACAAATAGAAACTGGGATCATGAAGCATAAAAGGAATTGTGGTACTTGGGTAACTGCTATCTTTAACAACCATCGTTCCATTTTTCTGACATCAACATAAATCCCAGTAATTCTAAGGGTCAGACTTCCCTTTGCCACAGCCTGAAAAAGATCTTCTCTTCAACTGCTGTCATATTTTACAGCTGTTTACCCCGTATCTTTAGTATCCTCTAGCTTGTTCCTTCTAGTGTTTATTCAAGACCAGACAAGACGTAACTAAACAGGAATTAGGATTTCATACAGAGAAATGGAAACCATTTTTGACAAAGGGGAAACCCAAGCAGTCATTATACAAATCTGAAGCTCATATAAAGATGTTAGTGTTAGTTAAATTGTTAGTTAAAAGAGAAGTCTGATGCTTTAGAATACTTATTACTTATCCTTCTTTCAAGGTTGAAAAATTTTTATTCTTTACTCAGTGTTAATATTCAACATGACAGCAGCTTAAAGTCCCTCTCAGATTTTCAGCCCTATTATCTCAAAATGGATCCCAGATTATTGTCCACTTCTTAATATTAACTCTTTTCTGAAATGAATACCAGAAGAATTTCTTGGATCTCCTGCTGCAAAATTAATTACTTTTCCTGTGTCCTCCATCTTCTCTTGCTCTAGGGGAGACCTCTAAATATGCAAACTACTTATAAAGGAATGGTGATTTCCTGCTGAGCCTCTAATGGACTTGAAAAATCAACATCTCTACTTGAAAGCTATGGAAATGAAAAACAAGCTATGCATACAACTACTTTCTTGTTTTAAAAAAATTATTTTTTTTTATTGTTGGGGAGTCATTGAGGGTACAAGAAACCAGGTTACACTGATGGCATTTGTAAAATAAAGTCCCTCTTACAATTGTGTCTTGCCCCCCAAAAATATATCACATACCAAGACCCCACCCCTTCCCTCCTTCCTTCTCTATTCTTCCTTTCCTCCACCCCTCCTTCCTCTTTTTTTCTCTGCTCTCCCCTTCCCCCACCCCCACCACAATTGTCCTCATATCAAAATTGAGTACATAGAATTCATGCTTCTCCATTCTTGTGATGCTTTACTAAGAATAATGTGTTCGGCTCGGCGCCTGTGGCTCAAGCGGCTAAGGCGCCAGCCACATACACCTAAGGTG